TGCTAAAACCCAAGCCATTGTCCTCGGTTCCAAACCCCTTCTCAGATCAAATACCAACATTCCTCTCCTGTACCTGAATGACCAACCCATCACCTTCAACACTTCAGTTAAAAACTTAGGTGTTATCATAGATCAAACCCTCTCCTGGAATCACCATATTTCCCTCATATCCCGACGTTCAATTTCCATCCTGAAACTCTTCCATCGCTTCCGCCATCTCCTCCCCATATCCCCACGTAGACTCCTAGTATCCGCCCTCATCTTCCCCCACATTGACTACGGCTGTGTAGTGTACGGTGGCCTCTCATCGGAACTTGGAGTCAGACTGAAAAGAATAATGAATGGCTTAGTACGATTTGTCAATGGGACCCCGAGACGTTCTCATGTTTCCCACTACTACGCCGAGTCAGGGTGGCTCTTCCCCTCCTTCAGAAGACAGTACTTCCTAGGTACATTCCTTTACCAAATAATCTATAATCATCGTCCGTCCTACGCATTCAATCTCCTTCAATTCAAGTCATCTATCCACTCCCTCTCCACAAGATCTCGTCCTTCCGACCTTTATACCCCTTTCCACAAATCGGCCTCATTTCAACACTCCTTTATTGTCCGATCCACCACATTTTGGAATTCCATCCCACTTAAAATCCGCCATGCACCATCCTTATCCACATTTAAAACCCTCCTTTTCCAATTCCTCCTTACAATTCAATCAGACGCTGGGTAGCCTATATTGTATTATTATACTATTGTTGCATTGTATGTATGTATATGTGTATGTATGTATATGTATATATATATTAATATATGTATATTGTATATATACTATTGTACTATTATTGTATTCTCACTATTATTGTATTATTGGGTGTATATATTGTGTATGTACGATTACACTATTATTGTATTTCGATTATACTATTATGTTCTACGAACATACTACTATTACTATAACATCTTTATTATTATCTGTCGCTCATTTATAATTTCATAGCGTATTGTGTATAGCAACTATTTTGCAGTATTAGGACATTATTTCTCATATTATGGCTTCCGATATCTGTACAGTTATGTAAACACTTCTTTTATCCCTTATTTTTTAGTTGTTTTTTTTGTTTGTTTGTTTGTTTTTGTTTATTGTAATATACATTTTGGCCAGATGTAATGTTTAATTTTATGTACAATATTGTTATTCTCAAGGGACGTAGTCCCAGAATAAAGTTGATTCTTCTATCTATCTATCTATCTATCTTCTATCTATCTATATATATATATATATATATATTAGCTTATTATTGATTAATATCGAATTTCTCGTGGACTAACTGAAATAAATATTAAAAATTCTATAAGCAGTATCTTTGATTTCGGTCGGTTAATATTCACCTTCAATTTGAAGCGGCTGAGAAAATGTTAGAGCCAAGGGACTATTGGCGGTGGGGAATTTCGAGCTGCTAAAATATGTATAGGAGGGTATCTGTGGCAGAAATCTCTTTATTACTGGCCCCAACCTCTTTATTTTATCATTCCATCAACTGCTCTTTATTATTTATTGCTCACTGCTTCTTCTTTTTCTTATTAATGTTTTGGTACGGCCCAAAGGAATTTTAAATATCTCTCGATAAGGAAAATATTGACCTTTTTCGCTTGCTTTTATTGCTGACTATTACAGTCTTTCAACGATAAATAATGAACATGAGCATCTTTTCATGTTCATTCAATGATTCAAAAATCTTAGTATATTTACAAATATCTATCTTTTAATATCAATAGACGTTAACTTTATTAACGACCCACCAATATGGTTATGTATATTTGCAAGTATCTATGTATATTTATGTATATGTTATGTATATTTGCAAGTATAATCTGTCCTAGTGGACAGATTGTGTTATATCCATAGTTGATTTTTTAATAAAAATTTCAATTGTTTTATTTTATAAATTAAGTAATTTTAATTCTAATTTCATAATTATTTTTATTTCTGATCTCGTTGTTTCCAATCGTGTTATTTCATAAGGAAGTAGTTTATAAATACTAGTACACGTTAGAATTTGTTACATGTATATATTGTATTATTATGTATACTATATATGTAAATTGTTTCAATAATCATTTTGGGAGGGTAAGAAAAAAAAAGTACTCGTAAAACTGGGAGAACGATTCAAGTAATTTGGCCAAGTGGTCTTATTTTATTAGCTATTTTTATTCCATCACAAAACAAAACAGAAGGGATGCGGCCTAGAAGTAGGCACAGAATTACATTAGCACAGAATTACGTAAGCACAGAATTACATTAGCACAGAATTACATAAGCACAGAATTACAGTAGCACAGAATTGCATAAGCACAGAATTACATTAGCACAGAATTACATAAGCACAGAATTACATTAGCACAAGACAAAAATGATGGAAAAAGGTAAGAATATTGATAAAGGACAAACATGAAACGATGATGATAATAAGTGGTCTTATTTTGTTAGCTATTTTTATTCCATCACAAAACAAAACAGAAGGGATGCGGCCTAGAAGTAGGCACAGAATTACATTAGCACAGAATTACGTAAGCACAGAATTACATTAGCACAGAATTACATAAGCACAGAATTACATTAGCACAGAATTACATAAGCAAAGAATTACATAAGCACAGAATTACATTAGCACAGAATTACATAAGCACAGAATTACATTAGCACAAGACAAAAATGATGGAAAAAGGTAAGAATATTGATAAAGGACAAACATGAAACGATGATGATAATAAGTGGTCTTATTTTGTTAGCTATTTTTATTCCATCACAAAACAAAACAGAAGGGATGCGGCCTAGAAGTAGGCACAGAATTACATTAGCACAGAATTACGTAAGCACAGAATTACATAAGCACAGAATTACATTAGCACAGAATTACATAAGCACAGAATTACATAAGCACAGAATTACATTAGCACAGAATTACATAAGCACAGAATTACATTAGCACAAGACAAAAATGATGGAAAAAGGTAAGAATATTGATAAAGGACAAACATGAAACGATGATGATAAAACCAATTAAACATGAAATATTTTTATTACGCCCTATCTAACCAGTTCTCAAAAATTGTAAAACACGTGTTTACAGTTTTTGATAACTTTTGATTTTAATCCAAAACTTGGCGACTTATAAATAGAAAACCTTTACTTATTTTTTTTTTTTCAAATCGAATTCAAAATATTATTTTAAATTGTTAAGAGTATTTAGACAATGAACATTTCTTCATACGTCAAGTTGGTCATAGTTAATCTTAATCATTTAAAATTTAATTATTTTAATAAGAAAAAATCATAAGTAATACTATACCTAAGTATATATATTGTTTATACATAACAATGTTTTTATTTGATTTGCTTTTAAATTAATAATTTTAGAAGCCCCGAAACCCACTTCTCATTTTTGAAATGTTATTATTATTGCAAATTAACCCGTCTCAGAATAAATGAAGAATTTATTATTACTTTTACAAGATTGTTTATATTATTTACTTTTACATTTTTTTACAGAATCTTCGCAAAAAAATTAAATAAAACAATGTAACAATCATTTTTAATAACATATTCAACTAAAATTTCCAATATTCATAACTCGTTATTACAAACTCGCATTCTTTCATGTTGTCAGATCAAGATTAAATTCCTCTGCACGGCGGCCGTAATTGAAATTTCAGATCGTTATTGTGCCAGTGATCTAAGTTAACGTTAGTAAACTAAACTAATTCTCAACATTTAGATAAATTCGTTTTCTAAATGAAGTCTATTTTTCTAAAGTCTGTACGACTAAATATTTCCATTCCAACTTAAAAAAATTATTTTGATTGAGCTATTTACCATAAAGTAATAATGTGTTATATAAAGGGTGTTCTTTAGGTAAGTAAAAATCTATAAACTTACTTTAATAAGGTGTAACTTAAATATTTAAAAAAATAACATAAAGTCGATTCCATAATGGAATAGAGGAAATATTTATTTTGTGTTTTTCTAAGTAATTCACATATTTTATTTAATAGAGAGCGATAACTAAAATAATATTTAATTTAGACAATTATCAATAGCTTCATAGTAAACTAGAAATAGCCCCTTTAAATACAAGTAGAATTAGTCCTTTTTTTGTAAAAAAATTTTGATGGGACTATTAATCAGTTGCATTAAGCTCTGTTTTTCATAAAATCGTGGTTTTTCAGATTTATTTTTCAACGCCCACCTGACCAACAGATATCTCACTTGTAGAAACATAAGTTTGATGAGTTTTGAATTAATGTTAATTAAGCTGATCTCAAAATTTACAGCCAGTTTTATAAAAATAATAGGTGCTGTAGAATTCTGTCTCTTCTTAGTACCAATATATTCAGAAAAAAAATACTATAAACATTTCATTTTATTGTATGATACGCTTAAATTAAATACTAATATACATTTGTTATTTATGAAAAAATCTGATTGTACAAAAAATAATCTGTATAAATTTTCATTTAAAATTAAATTCACCAGTACTCTTAACACAAATCTGAATTAAAGATTTTAAATACTTTTGATATTATTTGAAAAACTAAACGTCCCCACCTTCAAAATCTAATATTTATGTTTTCATGAAACAATCTAATCAATTGTATGGTTTCAATTTTCAGAAACGTTAATAAATAATAATAAACTATTACTTTAAATTGGCATTGATGTCATCTATATCTTGCTGCATCAAGATCTATAAATTTTTAATTTAAAGTTTTTTTAAATTTGTTTTACTCAAAAATTATAAATAATGAAAATAAAGAATTTCGATACAAGAAATTACAAATCAATCAGTGATATTCATTATTTATATCTTGAAGGTAATAATAAATCTATAGAAACAGCAAAGTAATGTTTACAATAACTAATGATTTATTTTGTATTATTATAAATTAATACTGAAGGACTAAGTTTCAATATCCACGGACGTTAACTTCACAAACAGTATTCTTCACACACAAACTTCAAAAACAAAAGTTGAAGCAGGAGAGCAAGTATATTCTATCCTTTCCTCTTTTATTAATGCAAAATGTCCATTTATTTTTATTCCATCGCATTTTTTTCAGTATATCATATAGTTCTCTCATGATGAAAATCTGGACTGTCTCAGTAGAATCTAGGAAAAAATAAACATAAAAAGAAATAAAAAAGTTAAAATAATGATATTTTTTATTCATTGCATTTGAATTAATAAAAAACAAAACGTCGGAAGAATTTGGGAAATTATTTTATACTATACACTTAATATTGTCAATAAATTCATTTTTATAATCAACATTGAACTGAAAACAAAAAAAAAAACGCTAACATACAGAAGAAGACTATTATTCGATTATATAGAGGAAAAAAAAACTATACAAACCTTACAAACATGGTTTATTAAGGATCAATGGAAATAGGAATAAATAAAATATATCGTTTTAAAATAAAATACCCACCTGCTTTCACCATGATCCAACAGCACCTTCTTTTTCCTAACCTCAACAACACGAAAATACTATATAGATTAAGGGAAATGACTTCTAGATATGAAACCACTGAAAAATATAAGATTTCAAATTCAATAAATGTATTAATTCCGATTGATTTCACAAGAAGGGGCTAGATTGGAGGAAAATTATTTAATGAGTCTGATATCAAGACTGATGTTTTTAAAATAATGTCCTGATTGGGACTTTTCTTATGTTTTAAGGCTCAAATACCCCTCTATATGCAGAAGAGAGAGTATGGTCTATAAGAAATTGTCTAAAGAAAAAATAAATAAGAATAGCGCCAGAAATGGCGAGGTAGTGTAATTGAAATAAAAAAAATAAAACAAAGTAACAATAAATGAAATATGAGAAATTTTACAAAGGAGAAATTATTTCTTTTGTAGAGATTATGTATCGTTCAGTATACCTAGGTTAATGATTTCATTTACATAATGCAAAGAATTTTCTATTACTTTAACATTTTAACGTAATTATTAAGAGAAAGTTTAAAATAAGGTAGATAACCATGGGAGTCCGGTCCTTTATTTTGAGAAATATATGCTACATTGGTCCCTGAGAGAATCGAGTTGGAATTATTGTTTGGTAAGCTGGAGTAGAAAGGGAGGCGAGTTTTCATGCTGTTTTAGTTTGTTCTGTCAAAACAATGCAAGGTAAGTAGTTGGCATTTTAAAATAGCAACTTTCACCATCCAATTACTAGACTTGCACGTAAAATTAATTAACGGTTCGAAGCGTATTGAGTTTCCAGTTATTGCTTTTTTTTTTGTTTAATTACAAAAAAAAAGTTGATGTACAAACAGACTTGTTTATCTTTTGTGAATTTGACGACTTTACGACAAAGCCGCACACACACAGTGGAAGTTATACGGCTATAAAACGTTTAGTAGAAGGATTCTGGAGTGCTTAGTGAAGATTAATGACAAAAGGACAGCCCTGTTGTTTGGACAGTGGATAAGAAATATGTTCAGTGCGTTTTATCTTGCTCAGGGAACATAGTGTGGGGTCCATGGCCCCCCTCCTTCTGCTGGAATTGTTTTTTCGGTGTCTCCTCACATCGATTAGATTCTACTTCTGATATATCGGTCGTCGCTTCCTACTCCTTATGCGTTTTCGCGTTGGTTTCGAAACACAGGAATTGGCAACATCTATAATTCCTCATTTCTGAAGATTAACACAATGTTTATATTGAATCAATATTACAAATTAAAAAATGTTGTGGTATGGATCTCAAACATATTACTCATATCCACCCAACTGTCAGAAGCTATAGGTTTTGATGAAGGAGGTATCAAACGAAAAGAAACTTCGTGGAGAAGTGAGGAACCTAATTACCAGACTTAGCGAAGCGATACGAGTGTTTTGATACTAGCTGAGCAAAAAATACTTACCCGTTATTAATTTGAAATCAATTTTCAAAAATCTTTGTAACGATTTTTTGAGCGAACGGCTGGATTAATTTTTAAGTTTGATTCCTCAGAATCAGCACTGACATTCAGCATTTGTCACCATAATTGGGACTTTGTTTAAACTAATCTTGTGTTTCTTGATACTATAATTTTTAAGAAAAGCAATGTCCAATCAAACAAAAGTTTCCATCGAAGTGCAACAAAGAATTTTGGTCACTGAAATTAATTTGGCTCAATTTCGCCATAATTGGGATTTTATTTAAACTGGATAGTCAGAGAATAAGGATACATAAAAACATAGGAAATAATATAGCTTACAAAATAAAAAAACCTAGTAAATTAATTGTATTATAAGTCTTTCAAACAATGTTAAAAATCAACCGTCGTTTGTAATTAAGCAGCATAGGACGGAGAGAGTTTTGATATAAAACATCTGAAGAAAACATTCCTCTTTCTAAATCACTGAATAATTTTAAAAATCTTTGAAACGGTTTCATAGAAAATGCACTTAATCGATGGAAAAGCGGAAAAAAAAATGCCTTCAACCTTGTGCCACATCATTCCACCTCCGTGAAGTTGGCCCCCCATCCTCAACTTTTTTTAAAAATTTTGAGAGTTCTTATAGCTCCCCCCCCAAGAGTTCTAGAGTTCCCTATACTTTTTCGGTTGTTTAAACAATATAATTTTTTTTTTAAATACCAGAGAACTCTGTAACTATTTGGGGGGCTATTAAAACCCAAAAAATAATTTCGAAATTTTCATTTTGGGGGGCCACTTTTTAGGGGAAGCATATATTTAAATTTTTTTTAGAGTTCTGATAGCCCCCTAAGGAATTGTTATAATTATCCCTTTGATGTTTAGCTCTAAAATTAATATTAAAAGTGTTATAAGATTCGTAAGTTGCACAAAACGGGATTTCCGTTTTTTGCAACTTTGGATGGTATTTTCGGTGGTTTAAACAATAGAACTATTTCTAAAAAGTATAGGGAACTCTAGAACTCTTGGGGGGGGGACTATAAGAACTCTCATAATTTTTTTAAAAAGTTGAGGATGGGGGCCAACTTCACAGAGGTCATCATTCCGCACTACTGCTAGTGTTGCGCAAAATCGTCTTGGTCTTGCACTTTCCAAGACCAAGACCGCCCAACTGTTGCAATACTAAGAACAAGACTGGTAAAAAAAAATCGTTTTTGTGAATAAAAATTAAGGCAAAATAATTACTAATACCTGTTAATTTTAGTTACTATATGTAAAGAATTGGTATAACAAATATACTTTTGGATTGAACTCTTCTAGTTTTTCATTGGGGCTTAGTTAGGTTTCCCCTATCTGAAAATTACAATAATATCTCTGTAATAATAGTATATAAGGATTCTGATAAAAAATTCAAGTTACACACCAAAATAAGTCAAGAGAACCAGTTTTTATCGAAGATACAAGCAAAAATATTTATTTTTTATGGTCATTTTAATATATGTACTTTAAAAGTAAATTGTACAGATAAATAAATTGGATTAGCCAAATAAATAGGCAACAGATAAAGAAAATGAAAGTTGAATAAAAATAAAATTAAACGTAGGTACTGTTGAAATAACCTTTGAGAAAATTTCAAGCTTCAGACAGCAAAGCTCTTTTTCAGTAAAAATTGACGCAGTCATGTTGAAACAATTGTACAACAATTAAAGACAGAAATGCTTGGTGATTAATTGGCGGATTGTCCTATAATAATTAATAAACTATAATAATAGTCATTTACTTTGTGCGAAGAATTATTATTCTTTATAGCTATTCATTGAATATATTTTATGTTCATGAAGTCTACCTTAAAGTCTACAAAAGGTCATTAATTTCACTTTTATGAAGGTAGTGATAATTAAAGCTTTTCTTTTATAGCTTAAATCCAATGTTTTACGCTAATACTATTATTACCCTAAGGGAAAATTTAGGGCATGATTAACCAAAAGAGATTTCTATTGATATAAAGGATCTAAGGCGGGCTTTTTAATATATTGCAAGATTAAAGACGTTGAAGTTCCTCTGATATTTTTGTTAGGTCTTGTAATTGCTTTTTCTTTATATTCTCCTCTTTGATGAAGATATAAAATCAGATCAGATTAATGTCAATAGTATAAGAGTAATAACCAAACCTTGGGAGAAAGCTTCACCGATTTTACTGAACCTTTGGTTCTTTATGTCCGACCAACAAACATTTCGTTTTGAACTTATGTTCATTAAATACAAAATTTTCATATTAATTTTGAAAAAAAAAAGATCTTTCGAAGCCATCACGAGTGTTTGTTCTGAACATCAAATGCTGTAAGAACAAAAAAACAAAAAAAACAACAACACTTTTATTAATAAATAACACATAAAAAGTATTATAACAAAGTTATTTTCCAACATAATATTTTAAACGCAATGAAAACATTAATCAGTGTAACTACTGCTATGTCTTGGCCCTTTCCCTTTTTATAGGTAAAGCTTATTTATATTGAATAAAATAAAGAGATGCCATGAAATATTAATATTTTATTGTTTCCTAATTAATTAATATTTTTATTTGTTAACTTACCTTAATATTTACTTACCTTAATACCTTACCTTAATACTCGAATATCTCTTCTTCTGGTGACATTGTAAACGTGATTAATAATAGATCAAACCCATATTTATTGGCATAGTCATGACTGCTTCTATATTAACTAACAAAATATATAATTCTAAAACTTATCTCTGATTGATTGGGATTATGCTGAATTAAACAACATAATATAGATGAACATAGAGTGGTGTGATGTATCTCCCACAGTCTTCTTTGTCCCCGAGTATCCAAGTCTAGGACTGAATGGCACCCATCGAAGAGTAGCATTCATACCCTGCCTTGTGTCAGCCTTAGTTTAAAGTTGTGAGTTATCGCATATAGTTAATTTATTTTTAAATTCAGTACCTTTAGTTAAATTGATCAACTGCAAACAAATTTACCCATTAAATACTCTCGCCATTAGAGTCAGGATTTAGACAAGGTCGTAGCACATGCGCTGCACTCTGTACAGTACTGACTCAATTGCGGAGAGCGATGGACGAACGAATGATTACTGAATTTGTATCTCTGACTCTTATCAGGGCGTTCAACACTGTCAACCACGACATATTGCTCATAGAATTCGGTGGCTTCGTGGCAGGCCAGTAATTATTTCAGTGGCAGAGATAATATCTGATCGGACAGATCCAACAAGCGAGAGCTCAAAACAATCGCATGGTGTCGTTGAAGTGCCGTATTTTGTATTTGGGATTTTTTAATATATTAAAACATCCTGTAATTTAGGGATGGTACTGGAAACTAAAATAGTTGAGGTTATCTCTTTTTATTCTGTTGTTGTTATAAATATGTAGCTAATTCTGATATGATACCATGGTTTCTGGTATATTCTTATTTAATATATTATTATGTGTACTTCTATTGTTTTTATTACAGGGAATTTTGCGATGAACACTCTGTGATCCCATACGAGCAGACTGGCTCTTTCAATCCCACCTAAGCACAGAACATCATTTAATGAAACTCCAGACTGACGTAAACACCGCATTCAATTACAACACCGTCACAGCAATGATATCTATAGATTGCATCAAAGCATTTGACTCTGTATCTCACGGTATCCTATGTCGCCAACTAACAGACCTAGAATGCCCTGAACAGCTATACAA